CGCGGAAGCTAAGCAGTTAATCTGAACTTCTGAGAAACCAGAATTAGAGGAAAAGAGTCAAATGTTCCAAGCAGGCCAGCTTCAATTGGCAGGCTAATGAAAGGTGCCGTTAACCCATCAGTCATTTTCCTTTTGCTCAGTCTCCCTGTCCCTGCCTTACAAAGAAAGTAGCCTTTGCCGGGCTTGGTGGCATGCACCTGTCATCCCATTGAAGTTTGAAGCCAGCCTCAAACCAAGAGCTGGGGTGTGGCTCAGTGGTTAAGCACCCCTGGGTTCGATCCCCAGTACCAACAACAAAAAAGAAACTTTGAAATGACTGACTTACTCTTTTTAAAAATATTTTTTAGATGTTGATGGACCTTTATTTTATTCATGTATTTATACGTGGTGCTGAGAATCCAACCCAGGGCCTGGCACATTGCCAGGCAAGCGCTCTACCGCTGAGCCCCAACCCGGCCCCACTGATGCTCTCTTGTTCTTTTGTTTCTGCTTTCTTCAGCTTTTCTCTGTTTAAACCAAAGTCTTCTGCTCGGCCCATCGGAGCCTTTATTTTATGAATCCGGTTGATTGTATTCTGGAATTGAAACTAAAGCCAGTTAAGATCTTTAAGCCATGGGATGGGGAGGCAGCTCAGTGGTAGAGCACTTGCCTAGAACATAGGGGGGCCCTGGGTTTGATCCCCAGCACTGCAAATCTTTCAAATAATTGTCATTTATCCTTCGACAAGGTAAACCTCAGAAATCCTAGCTCTGCTGCTTACTAGCCACGTGATTTCACAGATTAATTTTTCTCATCCTCAGTGGGATGTTACTATCTACCTTATATCGATTGTTTTACCAAAGATAAGTTATACAGATGAAGAAAGTAAAAGCCTTAGTGTCCAGAATTTAATTACAAAAGAGGATGGAAGGAGAGAAGAGATAAGGGAAGTTAATCAATTAACTGCTGAATAAGAGGACTGGGGATACAGCTCAGTTGGTAGAGTGCTTGCCTCCATCATAAGGCCCTGGGTTCAATCCCCAGCACCACAAACAGCTGACTAAGAAACCATCAAAAAGATCATTTATGCTGAAACCTTCACCTAAATCTCATCACCAGGGCAGGGGAGCCCTGTTTACAGGTAAATTTTTAGATATTAACTCTGATCAATCCAAAGACGGTAACCTCTGCCTGTGGACTGTCCTCCCATCCCAAAGCTCCCTGCCTCTGCATCCCATCTACGGCCAGCATAGGTTCAGCGTAAACAACTTCTGACTTCCCAAATCTCCTTCATTGAGAAGTACGCTTGGCTCTGGTTCTGAGACATTTTCCATCTGCTACCTCACCTTGCTGCTGCAACTTTGAAGAAATTTGTCCCAGGACCTGGTCTTTTTCTGGCTAGCATCGTAACAACTCAGTGAACTCTTTCAGAAAACCCTCCGTCTCAAGAGTTTCGGTTTAACACAATTGATAATAAGTAAAAATAATAGCAAACAGTGATTGTGCTTTCCTCGGATCAGGCCCTTTGTAAGTACTCTACATGCATTATTTCCTGTACTCTTTTTTTTTTTTTAAACTAGAGAGTGAACCCAGGGGGTGCTTCACCAAGCTACATCCCCAGCCCTCTGTGTCTGCTCTGAGCTATAGGAGCAGAGTTGAATAATTTGACAGAAATGTGGATGGCCCCCTAAGGCCTAAAATATTTACTATGTGTCCCTTTACAGCAAGCATTTGCTGACCTCTAGCCTAGAATAAGATGTCCAGAGGCAGCTGCAGAACAGAAACTCAGCCAGTCACAGTGTACCCAAGACTGCCCGGGGGCACAGTTCAGTGAGATCTAGAAGGAGCACAGATCCCACCTGCCCTCATATTGGGGCCCGTGGACAAAGGCTGTGCTGGGCTGTTCTGGTGTCCACATGGACAGGGTTGAGGACGAGGGCTTGGCTGGGCCTCTGCTGGCTGAGCCAGTGTGGGGCTAGACTGCAGAGAAATCCAGGGTTGAGCCAGGTGCTGTGGTGCACACCTGTGGTCCCAGCTACTCAGGAGGCTGAGGATTTTAAAAATCTGATCTTGGGCTGGGGATACAGCGGAATGGCAGAACCCTTGTCTGGTGTCTGTGAGGCCCTCGTATTGCAAAACAAATACATAATGTGAAGAATGCTGAGCTAGGCCAGGGAAACGGGATGGATTCACACCTGGCCAAGATGGTGCCACACTTCTCAACTGTTCTCGGCCCCGTGGCGTCTGGTCTGGCACCTTCCTGGTCCTCTGGCGTCCTTTGCCCTTCCCTGTGTCCTGTGCTCACTTGTGCTTTGCAGCTTCTGGTGCCCAAGGTCAGCCTGGCACACTCCTCAGGCTTGTTCATGAACTTGCTTCTTCGGCTTCCCTTGTACCAGGGTTGGGATCTCCCTCAAGTGTTCCTGTGCTGGCAGCTTGGTCCCCTGTGGCCGCGTGAGAGGAGGCGGAACCTCTCAGAGTGGTGGTTAGTGGGAGGTCCTTGGGTCATTGGGTCGCTGGTCTCCTGGAGTTCTCACAAGTGCAGGCTGCTGTAAGGAATGCCTCTGACTCTCTGGCTTCCGGTCTTGCCACGTGATCTTTCTCCACACACACTACCGTTGTGAGGCGTCTACTCCAAGGTCTTCACCAGAGGCTGAGCCTGTGGGCTGTTCAATCTAGGATTCTTAGCTCCACAACTGAGAGTTATATCAAGCTCTTTTCTTTACTCATCTCAGGTATTTTGTTACAGCAACAGAAAACGAACGAACACACCACCCTTCTGTACCCTCTGTACTTAGAAAAGTCCTCAGCCTCAGGATTCTGCTGAAGCATTGCCTTGGCATTGAGATCTCACTGGGTCTTTCTGCCTGTCCAGAAAGAAGGCATCCTCTCTTCCTTCCTGCCTCACTCCATCTTCTGTCCCAGTCCGTCACTCTGCTTAGGCATTGGTCACTCAGTCTGTGGATTCTTTGTGTTTATGTGCAGGGATCGAGCCAGGGCCTCAGGCATGCTAGGCATGCCCTACCACTGAGCTACATTGCCTGCCCTGCCTATGGATCCTTTGTGCTCATTGACGGCATTATAATGTTAGTACTCCAGGCTGAGGAGGAGGATAGAGGAATGAGCTTTCTAGCTCCAGAACCTGGAAATTATAGAGTAGAAATGAGGCAGATAAATGAAAATCCAGGCAAGCAAACTAAGGGTGGCGACAGTTCCACTTGGGTTTTTGTATTTGTTTTTCCTTTGTGGAGGATATTGAATAATTCAGTAGGAAATACTGTCGGCTACAGCAAAAACACTGTCAAACAGTATTGGAGTCATACCTCTCTAAAGGTGGATATCACAACGTAAGGCTGCATTGTATGTGATTCTGAGTAGACGTTTCCAAAGAGGATAAGACAGTACAGTCCCGAAACTCTGACGATAAAATGTAAGTACAGAACTTGAAAAATGTAGATGGCTGGCGTGGCCTGCTGGAGGAGATCTTTCAACCGTGGGCGCCTCTCATGAGCTCTTACCACCCCCGAGTCCTGAGATGGGAAGGGCCTCATCTGGAAGGCTTATTTCCTCTGCTCCATGCAAGGGTTGTTGCTAGCGACTTGACTCCCTTAACTGGGTGATCACTGAGACCTCAGAATCTTCATTTTATAAACACCGTTTAAGTTGATGACTTTTTTTAAAAAAATGTTTTTTTTAGTTGTAGATGGACACAATACCTTTATTTTATTTGTTTATTTCTATGTGGTGTCGGATATCGAACCCAGCGCCTCACACATGCTAGGCAAGCACTCTACTGAGCTACAACCCTGGCCCTAAGTTGATGACTTTTTGTGTGGGTTTTTTTTTTTTTTT